TTCCTTATATCATGATAAATGTTTATTATTGATGCTAGAATTGTATTAACCGGAAACTTAGTACATGTGTGAATACATAGACAAACAAAGTGTCCCTAGTATGCCTCTACTTGACTAGCTCGTTAATCAAAGATGGTTAAGTTTCCTAGCCATAGACATGTGTTGTCATTTGATGAACGGGATTACATCATTAGAGAATGATGTGATGGACAAGACCCATCCGTTAGCTTAGCACTATGATCGTTTAGTTTATTGCTATTGCTTTCTTTATGACTTATACATGTTCCTCAGACTATGAGATTATGCAACTCCCGAATACCGGAGGAACACCTTGTGTGCTATCAAATGTCACAACGTAACTGGGAGATTATAAAGATGCTCTACAGGTCTCTCCGACGGTGTTTGTTGGGTCGGCATAGTTCGAGATTAGGATTTGTCACTCCGTGTATCGGAGAGGTATCTCTGGGCCCTCTCGGTAATGCACATCACTATAACCCTTGCAAGCAATGTAACTAATGAGTTAGTTGTGGTATGTTGCATTACGGAACACGTAAACAGACTTGCCGGTAACGAGATTGAACTAGGTATTGAGACACCGACGATCGAATCTCGGACAAGTAACATACCGATGTCAAAGGGAACAACGTATGTTGTTATGCGGTTTGACCGATAAAGATCTTCGTAGAATATGTAGGAGCCAATATGAGCATCCAGGTTCCGCTATTGGTTATTGACCGGAGAAGTGTCCCGGTCATGTCTACATAGTTCTCGAACCCGTAGGGTCCGCACGCTTAACGTTCGATGACGATCGGTATTATGAGTTTATGTGTTTTGACGTACCGAAGGTAGTTCGGAGCCCCGGATATGATCACGGACATGACGAGGAGTCTCGAAATGGTCGGGACATAAAGATTGATATATTGGACGACTATATTCGGACACCAGAAATGTTCCGGAGAAGTTTCGGATAAAACCAGAGTGCTGGAGGGTTATCGGAATCCCTCGGGGGAACTAATGGGCCTCGTGGGACTTAGTGGAGAAAGAGAGGGGGCTAGGGCAGGCCGCGGCGGCGCTCCCCTTTCCTTCTCCCTCTCCCCCTCTCCCCCCCCTTCTCTTCCTTGTTGGAAACCTACTAGGAATATGATTCCTATTCCTAGTAGGAATCCTACTTGGGGCGCGCCCCTATAGGGCCGGCTAGCCTCCCCTTGCTCGTTTATATACGGGGAGCACGGGGCACCCTAGAACACACAAGTTGACAGTTGTCTTAGCCGTGTGTGGTGCTCCCCTCCACAAGATTTCCACCTCGATCATATCGTTGTAGTGCTTAGGCGAAGCCCTGCGCTGGTAACTTCATCATCACCATCATCATGCCGTCGTGCTGACGAAACTGTCCCTCGGCCTCAGCTGGATCAAGAGTACGAGGGACGTCACCGAGATGAACGTGTGCAGATCGCGGAGGTGGCATGAGTTCGGTACTTGTGTCGGTTGGATTGCGAAGATGTTCGACTATATCAACCGCGTTACTAAACGCTTCCGCTTTCCGTTGACGAAGGTACGTGTACACACTCTCCCCTCTCGTTGCTATGCATCACATAGATGTATCTTGCGTGTGCGTAGGCAATTTTTTTGAAATCCTACGTTCCCCAACACAGGCTTGTCTCATTCTCATGTGCATGTGCTACTGTAAAACCCATCTTTTCAGCTAAATGTAATGGTTGTTCAAACTGCATGCACCCACTACAATGTTGAATTTGGGTCAAAAACTAATGCATACTATAAAATGGAATGGAGTACTAGACTTCTTCTTCCTTCAATTGTACGCCAACCGTTAGACATTGAAAATTTCATTGAAACAATGGTAAAGTAAAGAGACACCTGCAAAGGCCCTCGCCATACCATATTTTGAAGGCCTCAATAGGTCACGAGCTTCATGAGACAAAATCTAGAAGCCGCTGAAGTAGCATGCATCAGTTAGAACATCGACCCCACATAGTACATGCTTGCAATCCATCACCACTAGTTAAGAGGGATGGACAAATAGAACCTTGCTGCAAAACAACAAGAAAGAAACATCGTAGCGTCACACTAATAGTTAGCCAATAGCCCTGCTTGAAAGACACACCAACTACCAAGATATAAAGAGAGCCAACATATCTAGAGATATAAACTCTTACATGTCCTTTGTTAGCGACGGATCGAATATCGTCGAGGTAGAAAGAGACCGAAGAGCCTTATTCTAACACGTTCTCGCCGCCCGCCACCTCGTCAACTTTGGTAGGGAAACAAAAAAGCACAGAAAGTTAGACATATGAGTCCCCACTCCTCTTGCCCGCGACAAGGACTCCGAACAAGAGATAGGAGAGGGACAGAGGCGACAGCGATGGCGTGTAGGAAACTTCTGGCCGCGGCAACTATGGTTGGGAACCACTACGCACCACGCACCATCCACACTGATTTTATTGCGTAAAATGTAATACTACATCGTTGGTAACCGTTAATAAAGCTAGCTAGCACCATATTTAGGGGAGGGGCATTTTGGCTCCGGAAGCATTTGCTCCCAGATGAACAATACCACAAAAAGAAAGTGTTGAAATGTTTTTTTTAAATGAATTTTTTTTGTGGATGTTCATGTTAGTGTCGAAAGCATGCTTGGCAATTTTCATGCGAAATGGAGCAGTAGTGTTTCCTCGATGAAAAAAAATAGGGATGACATTTGGTGTTCAAATTTGTTTTTCTTTTGCACGGGCCAAATGTTTAATCTTTTTGCCTAAACTTTGCAGTAAGCATTTGGATGCGACTATAAATATGTAAAAAAAATGTTGGGATTTTTTTGACATTCCAAAATTATTTTTCACGCGCAGGAGCATGTGCTCCCAGGAGCCAAATTGGATTTCCGCATATTTAGAGATTAGGTGAGAGCTGACATAAGGTGCAATATGTAAGAGAATTAAAACCTAATGCAACATGTCACCCTTTTATGAATGCATGGTCCAAAGTTGATAATTTTTCCTGAGGAACATGGTATGCTCACAACACGCTTACATAATCACCTCTACGAAGACACGCACACTCTGTCTATGTGAGCATCTCCGAAAGACTAACCCGACAAATGTTTAGATTGATGAAGTCACCCAAGCACCTCATAATCAACGAGCACAAAGAATAGCGTCAAAAAACTAAAATAAATCAAGAAAATGTATGAGAACCCATACCACTCTGCGAGCATCTTTGAGAGACTAAGTCGACAGATCTGCAGATTGGCAAAGTCAATCTGGACCTTTGTAATCGACAAACATATATAACACTAAAGGTAAATCCAGAAAATATACGAGAATCAATACGAAGTCTAGCCACTTGAATTCAAATGGGTTGATTCCACCACAAGAAACCGAGCCATGTAAGCTATGCTTAATCCATTGCGAAAAGTGAAACTCACTTTGTTCTTAACTAATATTTCCTCTGTAAAGAAATATAAAAGCGTCTAGATCATTAGAGACCTGCTCCTCCTCTTCTCTTTGTGTTGCTCACTGGAGACCACTCCTCTATCTTGAACCATGCCATGATGATTAGGAAAATTATTAATCTTATGTCCTGTTCCTGTGAGGGTGTCATCCCATCATTCCCTGGTAAAGCCGTAATGGGATGCAAGCATCAAGCAAATCACGTCTAGTGAACCTTTGGATAATCTGAAGGGCCAGGGGAATCCGCATATCCAACCAGCGGTGTGCTTCCGGGTTATTCCATCTTCCAGAATGGTTAAGACCTAACTTGCCTTCGAGCAGAGGGTTAAACGAACTTAATCATGACACTGTCAACAAAGTTAGCTAATAATGCATCAGTCAGAAAAAAAAGCTAGCTAATATATCACCCCGCCAGCCTTAACTTTTGCCTGGGCCATACCACCATTAGCGCCATCACCAAGTAATCTAGTAGTAATCTATATTTCGCCGGCCACATCATCCCGCGAGTGGATTTGCAGTGGTCATGTCAAAAGCTGGACACAATACTACAACTACTCCACAAGGTGACGACGACGTCCTCAATCGATCTCTAGCCTTCTATATTTCGCATGTGTGCGAAAGGAATGGACGGTGTTTCTGACTTGACCATGCACGCACCTTTGGGACATGGCGACCTGATCGTCAATTCGTCGATGACGCCAGGTCGCGCAGTACCGGCGGTCGATTCGTGCTCGCGCAACCGCCCTTTTCTCCCTTTTCCCCGTCTTTCTCGTCTCTTTGCCATCGGCCGTAGCATGAAGATGTGCATACATGCACCACACGGCACGCATCATCGTAGTAGTATATGGTTTGGTCGATTTCTCATGAGAATCCAACTAGCAAGCATGCACTGTCTTCTTTTCTTTGCCAAAAAAACATGCGTTTGATTTGCATATGGCTAGGTTCACTGAATCTCCTCCACTCTGCCAGTACCAGTACAGTCATACCTGGGCGTTCTCGAATCTCGAGTGTCCGCTTCTCATTTCACCCACAGATTTTTGCAGAAATTTCCGGAACCTTAGATAAGTCACAGAAATTAATTGCAGTACACCGAATTCATTTTATCCAAAGGCAAAAACCAGGTCCCACCATCCTGCAGCAGTAGCAGCAGAGCTGGCAAGCAAACCAAAGAGAAGCCGAGCGGCTTCTTTTCCCCGCTCTCTCTCTCTCTCTCTCACCCCTCCCCCGCGCGCCACCTATAAATACCGCCTGCCTCCCCCATCCTCTCCCACTCAGTCAGACGTCACAGCCACACAGAAGAAGCGAGAAACCACTCTGCACGCACGCCCACACACAGAGAGAGCAAGAAACAAAGAAAGAGGAAGAGAAAGAAAGAGGGAGAGGGATCGACATCCGTGTGATTCACCGTTCATCATGAGGCCGATCAGAGAAGGCGAGGCGCTGGTGGGGGTCGCCGGGGCTCCGGCGGCGCTCGGCCACGGCGCGCACCCGGCGTTCTGGATGACGCCGACGCCGTACATCTTCATCGGCTTCACGCTCATGATGGGGATCATCGCCGTGGCGCTGCTCGTGCTCGTCTGCACGCGCCGCGAGCCGTCCGGGTCGTCGCGCCGGGGGAGCGCCGCCGAGGAGGCGTCGGCGCGCGGGATGGCGCCGCTCGACAGGGAGCCCAAGGTCGTCGTCAGCATGCCCGGCGACGACTTGCCGTCCTTCCTCGCCAGCGCCAGGCCGTTTGCGTTCCCTGACGTCGTCGAGCCGCCACGCCAGGCGGACGCGGCCTAAGCGCGCGCGCCGCGCGCACCCGTGCGCCCTGCGGGACGCGGGACCAGTTTTGTTCATCAATCAGATTTCTAGGATTTACCCTAAGTAATTTTGTCAGTACTAGTAGTAGTATCTTGTCGAGGAAATAGCCGGCGGGCACGACGTGAGCTGAGATCTGTGAAAGAGAATGGAGTTTCGGCTTTTGCATTGCTTGCTTTTGCCTGCTCTCCCATTCGATTTTCCACTCGCATATTAACTACTCCCCAGTCGTCGTCATGCTGAGACTCTGTCGACTCTCGTAGTGGTAAATCTCAACGATGAGTCACCAAGCATTAACCACAAACCATCAACAATAATGAGAGAACCACTCTCCAATACTGATCCAGATTGATCTGCTGGCATGGCAAAAGTGATAAGCATTACGAGTTTGTGCGAAATAACGGAGCTTTACATGATTGCTGTACGCGCACGTTGAAACATGCACACTGAACTTTCGGTTTCCGTTGAAAAAATAATTAAATTTCATGATTAATTTTAGAACATAAGTCACAATTCTAGCAACCATTAGCATGTAGTAGGTGAATTAGATGTCATGAACAGCAATTTCGCACACACAACAACCAATACTTCCATAGGCTTCTGATGGTACTGCCAACATATATTCTTCCACCGCACTATATGTGCTCATATCTCTTATGTTATGTGTTGTACTTGGATTACCACTGCTTGCAATGGACATGGACATGCTCTTCCTATCTTGCATACTAAATCATTTGTTTATGTTGATTAGCACTCCAGTCAAACAATCATGCTTGTTATGTTCATCATGTTTTATCAATATTGTTTTGGTTAACTTAGTGGGAAATTACTCATATTTTCAACAATAGAAAAACCTCCCATATCATATTTTCAGAGGTGTTCTTCTGTTCTTGACTACAAGATCATTAATCCTTTCATGACCACTATGGTTGGCGAGGATATGTGAGACATGCTTGAGACCAAATTCGGGGTCTCGGACACAAAGTGAGTTGTATGTCATGGAACAGTACCAGGACCATGGGATGAGCGATGACCACTCCGTAATTGTGCAAGCTAATCAGATACAGTCACTCGCTAAGGAACTTGACTATTTCAATTGTTTGTTATCAAACAAGTTCATTTCCTTAGACATCATTGCCAAGCTTTCTCTTTCACCGAGGAAATGTTTGCAATGAAAATGAATCATATGTTCGGCACTCACAATTTTATGATAATAACTGCGGGTGCATAACGCGGCTGCCAAATATTACGAAAATGTTTGCTATTTTATTGATTATGAAGAGAGTTATCTGATTAACTGGAGAAATCAGGCAAAAACCTATATTACAAAGCCAAAACATAGAGCCGCCATGGATTTCATGGCCAATAACAAAATCATAGCATATATAGTAACACAACTGGATCATCGAAAAACCAAAAATATCATCAGCATCTTTCATGGATATCACGCCTAATTAGGTGACTTCGACTTCACGTCGGACAAAAAAATCTTACTAATCATGAAGAGGACACACCGGGCACAAAGCATCGCCAAACAATTGATCGACGCATGCATCAAGGAAAGACAACTCTAATTTGTATAATTAAATCGAACAGTTCCGAGCCTCGCACGACCCAGTTCAATTCAATCGAACAGTGTCATCCTCTGGAAACACCGCAAAGTCATTTTTAACGGCAACGTTATGGACCGGTGCTAAATCCACCCTTGAATTCTTGGAGATTGGTGCACACTCTATATGCATACTAGTATTCTTTTTTATTCTGATGAAGAACATCATATATGAAATGTCTTGTCAACTCTTGCCAGCACGTTTTGTTAGTAAAAACACATACGATGTTGTTGGGGATCGTAGCAGAAATTTAAAATTTCCTACGCATCATCAAGATCAATCTATGGAGTAATCTAGCAACAGGGGAAGGGGAGTGCATCTACATACCCTTATAAATTGCTAAGCGGAAGCATTGCAAGAATGCGGATGAAGGAGTCGTACTCGCAGCGATTCAGATCGCGGTTGATTCCGATCTAAGCGCCGAACAACGGCGCCTCCGCGTTCAACACACGTGCAGCCCGGTGACGTCTCCCACGCCTTGATCCAGCAAGGGGAGAAGGAGAGGTTGGGGAAGACTCCATCCAGCAGCAGCACGACAGCGTGGTGGTGAAGGAGGAGCGTGGCAATCCTGCAGGGCTTCGCCAAGCACCGCGGGAGAGGAGGAGGACTTGGGAGAGGGGAAGGGCTGCGCCAGAACTTGGGTGCGGTTGTCCTCCCACCCCCACATATATATAGGGGCAAGGGAGAGGGGGGCCGGCCCCCTCAGATCCAATCTGAGGAGGGGGCGGCGCCAGGGAGGTTGCCTTGCCCCCCAAGGCAAGGGGGCGCCCCCCTTTAGGGTTCCCCCTAAACCCTAGGCGCATAGGCCCTAGGGGGGAGGCGCCCAGCCCACTAAGGGGCTGGTCCCTCTCCACACACAACCCATAGGGCCCTTCGGGGCTTGTGGACCCTCCCGGTGGACCCCCGGAACCCCTTCGGTGGTCCCGGTATAATACCAGTAACCCCCCGAATTATTCCGGTGACCATATGATGACTTTCCATATATAAATCTTTACCTCTGGACCATTCCAGAACTCCTCGTGATGTCCGGGATCTCATTCGGGACTCCAAATAACATTCGGTAACCATGTACATCTATTCCCTATAACCCTAGCGTCATCGAACCTTAAGTGTGTAGACCCTACGGGCTTGGGAGTCATGCAGACATGGCCGAGACAACTCTCCGGTCAATAACCAACAACGGGATCTGGATATCCATGTTGGTTCCCACACGCTCCACGATGATCTCATCGGATGAACCACGATGTCAAGGATTCAATCAATCCCGTATTCAATTCCCTTTGTCTATCGGTACGATACTTTCCCGGGATTCGATCGTCGGTATCCCGATACCTTGTTCAATCTCGTTACCGGCAAGTCTCTTTACTCGTTCCGTAACACATCATCCCGTGATCAACTCCTTGGTCACATTGTGCACATTATGATGATGTCCTACCGAGTGGGCCCAGAGATACCTCTCTGTTACACGGAGTGACAAATCCCAGTCTCGATTCGTGCCAACCCAACATACACTTTAGGAGATACCCGTAGTGCACCTTTATAGCCACCTAGTTACGTTGTGACGTTTGGCACACCCAAAGCACTCCTACGGTATCCGGGAGTTGCACAATCTCATGGTCTAAGGAAATGATACTTGACATTAGAAAAGCTTTAGCATACGAACTACACGATCTTGTGCTAGGCTTAGGATTGCGTCTTGTCCATCACATCATTCTCCTAATGATGTGATCCCGTTATTAATGACATCCAATGTCCATGGTCAGGAAACCATAACCATCTATTGATCAACGAGCTAGTCAACTAGAGGCTTACTAGGGACATGGTGTTGTCTATGTATCCACACATGTATCTGAGTTTCCTATCAATACAATTCTGGCATGGATAATAAACGATTATCATGAACAAGGAAATATAATAATAACCAATTTATTATTGCCTCTAGGGAATATTTCCAATAGTCTCCCACTTGCACTAGAGTCAATAATCTAGTTCACATCGCCATGTGATTAACACTCACAGGTCACATCGCCATGTGACCAACATCCAAAGAGTTTACTAGACTCAATAATCTAGTTCACATCACTATGTGATTAACACTCAATGAGTTCTGGGTTTGATCATGTTATGATTGTGAGAGAGGTTGTAGTCAACGGGTCTGCAATATTCAGATCCCTATGTATTTCGCAAAACTTTATGTCATATCGTAGATGCTGCTACCACGTTCCACTTGGAGCTATTCCAAATAGTTGCTCCATTATACGTATCCGGTATCTCTACTCAGAGCTATCCGGATAGGTGTTAAGCTTGCATCGACATAACTCTTTACGTCGAACTCTTTATCACCTCCATAACCGAGAAACATTTCCTTATTCCTCTATGGATAATTTTGACCGCTATCTGGTGATCCACTCCTAGATCACCTTTGTACCCTCTTGCCAGACATGTGGCAAGGCACATATCTGGTGCGGTACTCAGCATGGCATAGAGCCTATGACAAAAGCATAGGGGACGAACTTTGTCCTTCCTCTTTCTTCTGCCGTGGTCAATCTTTGAGTCTTACTCAACTTCACACCTTACAACTCAGGTAAGAATCCCTTCTTTGACTGATCCATTTTGAACTCCTTCAAAAACATGTCAAGGTGTGCGTTCTTTGAAAGTATCATCAGGCGTGTTGATCTATCTCTATAGATCTTGATGCCCAATATGTAAGCAACTTTATCCAGGTCTTCCTTTGAAAATCACTCTTCAAACAACCGTTTATGCTTTCCAGAAATTCTACATTATTTTGAATCAACAATATGTCGTCCACATATACTTATCAGAAATGTTGTAGTGCTCCCACTCACTTTCTTGTAAATACAAGTTTCTAGCAAACATTGTATAAACCTAAAAGCTTTGATCACTCCATCAAAGCATATATTCCGACTCCGAGATGCTTGCTCTAGTCCATAGAAGGATTGCTGGAGCCAGCATACCTTTTAGCATCCTTAGGATCGACAAAACCTTTTATTGTATCACATACAACTTTTTCTTACGAAAACTGGTAAGAAAACTTGTTTTGACATCCATCTATTAGATTTCATAATCAAAAAATATAGCTAATGCTAACATGATTCCCACGGACTTAAACAACGCTACGGGTGAGAAAATCTCATCGTAGTCAACTCCTTGAACTTGTGAAAAGACTCTTTGCCACAAGTCAAGCTTCATAGATGGTAACATTACCGTCCACGTCCGTCTTCTTCTTAAAGATCCATTTATCTCAATGACTTGCCGATCATTGGGCAAGTCCACCAAAGTCCATGCTTTGTTCTGATACATGGATCCTATCTCGGATTTCATGGCTTCTAACCATTTGTCGGAATACGGGCCCACCATTGCTTCTCCATAGTTCGTAGGTTCATTGTTGTCCAACAACATGATATCTAAGACAGGATTACCGTACCACTCAGGAGTAGTACATATCCTTGTCGACCTATGAGGTTCGATAGCAACTTGATCCGAAGCTTCATGATCAC